CTCCACGATTGTTCGAGAGAGCAAGAGATAGTTCAAAATGACATCCACCATGCCTCGGAGAAGCCCTAAGAGAGCCATATGATGCTTCCACACGCTCCAGGAGCCCTCACGGACACACACACACACACAAACACGCACATGTTTTCAAGTCGGCGGCGCAGAAGACCCTCAGGCGCGGTCGACACGTGGAGGTGCCAGTTGCGACCGAGCTTCGTCGAACGCGCCAGGATGAAAGAAACCACTCAAGGCCATGCATATTGGTAGTGGACAAAAAGCGGCGCTGTGTAGTCGAAGTGCAGCGGCCGAAGAAACCCGCGGAAAGAAAGCTCGACGCGGGAAACTCGGACGCAAACACCAATATGTTGCGAATGGGGGCCAAGAATCACCGACAGACGATGACCCAAGAAGCGTACAGCAACCAAACCCGGAAATCACGATAGCTCGTCTCAAGGCAAGCTGAAACGCTGGCGCAATCTACAACCTGTGAAGCTGCCAAACCAGCCGATTGGTGGGGTAGCGCTAACGCTATGGCCCAACAAGGCGATGGGTACTACCCTACGAACTGGCGAAGCAAGGCAATGGTATGGGCGGAGTGCAGAACCTACAGCCGCGGCAGCACCACAACAGCGGCCCCGACGCGAAGACTGCATGGATTGATGGTGACGGAACGCAGGACCAAACGAAGACACGCACAAGCAAAAACGAAACCAACCTAATGAAGCCACGCCGTGAATCCTTGGTCGGCGACTGAAGCTTGCACCAGCGGGTGGCCCCCGACAACCCAGGGGGCTCTTGAGGCAGAGACAAAGGAATCATCTACCTCGCCTGGATCAGCAGAGCCTGTCACAATGGGAGGAGGAGGGTGCTCGGAGCGGGGCTGGGCAACTCAACCCCCTCAGCCAAGGACCAACCCCCGAAAGGCGCCACACCTTCATCCGAACAGGCCTGAATTAGACCAGGAGGTAGATCAGCACCCAAGACTATGTCCGCAGTACCGACAAGATCCTGCGGGTCTGGCTGCTCCAGCTCCCCAAAAACTCATTGACATCTGCTCTGCCAGTTAACAATGTCCAATGCAATCCTTTCACACTCAGAGACAAAAGCAAGGCGGCCCTGAGAGACGCCCCAGGGGCGGGTTCCTCTCTTGGCCCACTTATCAGCGAGAGCATTACCGTTTTAACAGCCATCCCTCATGATCTGAGGTGGCGGCAGCTAGACCCCTGCGAGCCTCAACTTTACAAGCAGAGGCCAGTCTGCCGATGCCGCTACACAATTCACCCCACATATGACGACGAGGGTTGGAAGCCGAGAGGGCAATGCTGGAGTCTGTCGCACAGCCAAGCGTGCCTGAACCATCCGTGTGGACCTCCAGCGGGGTGGTCGGCTGACCATTCGCTGAATTGAGAGAGCATCCTGACACCCCAGTCCTCCCCGTCCCGAGCCGCCTGTCCTGGTGCCGCATGGAGCGGCACCGCGCCGTACATGGCGCCGATCAAGTTGCCAGCAGGGTCGATCTGAACGACCGACCACCCTGCACGACTGAACCCTGGAGGTGGGAATGGAAAGCCGAGCCGTCAACGAAGACCGCACCCGAAAACTTCCACCCAAGGAAAACACTCACAAACCTGAGCTGATCCTCCTGAGGAACCTCCTTGCAAGGGAAGCAGAGAGACGGAGAGGGGAAGAGGCATCTCGCCATGAGCTCACCAGCTTTTTCCCCAATCTGCTTCGCATACTGAGCAGCCTGCATGACATGCTTCGGGAACTCCTCACGCCTGAGTTTGAGACACCTGGGGCGATCGGAGAAGCGATGCCACAAGGTGCCTCTCGTGCCGCAATGGGCGCAGGCATCAGACTGGGCCTTACCCCTAGAGTGCAACCGAGCTTGAGGCCAATGGGATCCACCGACCAAGCTCCGAGTGGCAGCAGCACGATGCTGCGACCAGCTGTCATCAAAGTCCTTGTTGATGAAACAAGCGAGGGGAGGCCAACTGAGAGGCGAGACCCAGAGCGCTCGGAGTCTCTCCATCGCCACGATGTCAGAAGCCTGAAACGCCAGAGGCTGACAAAATCAACAAAGAAAGCAACAGAGAAGTCAGAAATATTGAACTACCCAGGCCTCGGATGCCAGAGCACATCAGCGGAAGGCAAGGTGCAGACGATCCTGGCGAGAGACAAGACAGCAGTCTGAGATGGGTCGACGACTGGAGCCTGCAGCGGACCAAGGCCTGGCAAGACCGACTGTACACTCAGTGCCCAATGCTTGATCACGTCACAGACCACAAATACCCAGGGGTCCCTGGTGGCCCCTTCTGGGGGTGACACGCAACCTGAGAGCAACCGAGGTGCCTAGAGGGACACGACCCTTCCCTCTGAGAGTGGCTAACCTGAGAGCAGCAAGCTTCATGTCAGCAATGCCAGTGACCGCCGCCCCCCACACTGCCGTTGCCGTAGGAGAACCCCTCACGATAGTGCTGACGCTTGCCCCTGCTTTCCTCAGGGCAAAAACACGCGATGAAACCGAGGCTGCTATGGCCAACCGCTTGTTTTGCTCAGTGACACTACGAGCAGCACCACTATTGGCATCTATGCCAAGAACCCTGCTGCTGCTGAGCCTGCCACGGCGGGAGGGAGGAGGAAGCTGGCCCGCTCAGAGCAGGGCCCAGCGCGCGGCGGGGGCGGCGCCGGAGGGGCGGGGACCAGCGGCGGCGGGCCAACGGCTGGGGGGGGAAAGCCGGCAATGCAGGCAGCAAGGCAGCGGGCCGTGGCGGGGAGGTCGTGCCCAGCTGTGGCTGGCGACGAAAGCGAACGCGGAAAGAAGCCACTGTCCGGCGTGTGCCGAAGACACACGTGACCCGAGAAGGCAACCGGGCCAGCGAGCGGCCAGTGCGGTGCAGTGCGAAACCACCTCCAGGTGAGGGAACAGCCTGAAAACCATGCAAAGTGGGAGCGGGGGCGGGCCGGGGCGCGGGCGGCAGGACCAGCCCAGGGCCCCAGGGTGTGGGGAGGGCGCGGCCAGAGGTCCGGTGGGCAGGCCCGCCGCAAGGGCAGGGCCGCTGGGGAGCGACGCACCGAACTGGTGCACTGTGGTAGAAGAAGGCCCCGAAGCCAGTGGGCCGGGGAGAAAAGCAAAGAGTGAGAGACCCAACAAGGAGCCTCGGTGACAGCGGTGCCAGGCACAAGTGGAGGGGGGGGCGCCCGGCACGCAGGGAGGCGCCGAAGCGGTCTGCGGGCAGAGTCCGGATCGCGGGCCAGCGCATAGCCAGGACCGGAGACGAGGGCGGAGGCGAACAGGAGTCCTGGGCCCGTGGGTATCGGGCCGCCCACATGGTCCGTGCACTGCCGAAGCAGGGAGCAGCCGAGGCGTTTGCAGCGAAACCTCCTCCAGGTGAGGGGTTAGGCCTGAAAACCAGGCCAAGCGAGGATGCGGAGGGGGGGGCGCGGGCGGCAAGACCAGCCCAGGGCCCCAACCCCGGGGGGGGCGGCCAGAGGGCCAGGGGGCAGGCCCGCCGCTGGGGCGGGGGCAGTTGGGGGGTAGGAGACACCGACCTGCTGCACGGTCAGCAGACATAGGGCCTGGCCGATGGAGATCCGAGGAGAAAAGGCGAAGAGCGCGGCTCCCGGAAGGGAGCCGGGGCGCCGGTGACGCAAGAGGCCAGGCGGCGCTCGAGCAAGGAGCCAGCGGGTCGTCGCCGCCTGGGGCAGGCGGGTAATGGAAAGCTGGGGGCCACACGGCGGGCGAAGGGCGTCCGAGCCGAGCCGAGAGGGCCAGCGCCGAGACCAAAGCACAAGAAGCAAACATACTTCTGGAGTGTGTGTGTGTGTGCGCCTTCTCGCCTTCTCGCCTTGTTGCTTTCGATCGGCCTCTTCGCGCCCAGAGGAAATGCAATCATGTGTACCGTCTCGCCTTGTCGATTCCGATGGGCTTCTGAGGCCTCAATGTGGCCCCAAGATAGCCCCAGAGCGTCCCAAGAGCGCCCCAAGAGCGCCCCAAGAAGCGCTTATGAGTACCCCGGAGGAGGGACGGAAATCGAGGGCCCCCCTCTCTTTTGTGATCGAGGCCCCCCAAGGCTCCCAAGAGACACCCAAGAGGCTCCAAGAGGGCCCACCCAACACCCCACAAAAGAGTCCCAAAAGGACCCCAAGACCCTCAATGTAGCCCTAAGAGGGTCCCGCGAGGGCCGCGACAGAGCCCCAGGAAAACCTCCTGAAGACTCCCAAATGAATACCAGAGTCTTCGTACACCTCCTCCTCCTCCTCCTCCTCCTCCTCCTCGTCCTCCTCCTCCTCCTCCTCCTCCTCCTCCTCCTCCTCCTCCTCCTCCTCCTCCTCCTCCTCCCCCTCCTCCTACTCCTACTCCTACTCCTATCCTTATTCCTTATTAGAATATACTCCTACTCCCCCCTCAGGCCGGCCATTAGGGGCCGCATCCGGGTGGTCCCATCCTAACTTGTAAAAAACAATACAAAATCA